CCGTCCCCAAATCCCTCCGTCCCGGAATCTCTCCGTCCCATTTTCTACGAGGTCTAATTTCTGCCAAGTCCCCGTAATATTTGCATTCTGGTGCTATGTTTGACATGCCATAACTCCATGCATACTGCTCCGTTTTGCGTGTATGATATACTAAAATGTTCATCATGAGATGATCTTCATTTTTTTTCCATTGTGCCATGCTTGTTTGAGATCATCTTGATTCCCAAATCATCGTTGCAAGAGTGTTATATGATGTTAATCTGCTGAAACTGTTATAACTTGATGATTTGTTATTTTTGTTGCATTTGATGTGTGTATCCTATGAGTATGAGCTCTACATGTGTTTTGTACTACATCATGCCATCTTTACAATGGTGCAATCCATGTATTTTTTTGAGTCTTGTACAGAGTGCATCGAGCTCACGAAGTAGGGTACTTGCTGTTACTGTTTTGCTAGGCTGAATCTGATATATCATGATGCTATGTAAACATGCTGCTACAAGTCATTCTATGCATAATCTGGAGATGTTCACTAAGGATGAGTTGTTACAAATGTCATGGTATATCCATTCATGGCCCTGGTTGCATTTATAGCCTGCTGTAACATGTTGTTATCTTGCTCCAAGCTTGCTAAATAATGTTGTTGTCAGTCTGTTAACATTAAGTTCAGTTTTGCCATGAGCTTTGCTAGTGATCCATACACTCTATGAACTTGCTCTTGCCATGTTTAGCTTCATAAATATGTCTTCTTACTGTTGGTTGCCTTACCATGCCATGTATTGCTCTGTGGTGAGTGGTTCAAGCTCACCAACATGCCTACTTATCGTTGTTCCTGCCATGTCTGAATCTGTCATATCATTCGCCATGTTTACCTGGGTGCCATCATATTTTATGTGCCCTTTTGGCTCATGGTCAGTAAGGGACTTTTGTTATATGCAATTAGTAGATTCATGCCATGCCTTAGTTTGACATGATAAGTTGTTGTAACATGTTGTTTTATAGCTCTAAACATTGCAACCTGATGTTATTTCTGCTAAGCCTGAAACTGTTATTAATTGCAATCTTGCCATGTCCTTTTGAGCATGATCTAGTGATTTCTGGAGATAGCTCAGTGTTCATGTTTTGTCATGCTTTACATGTACTTCATGTCCATGCCTTTTGTTCTTACGTTGGGATGCTGTAGCATATTGTTTTGATGCTTGCTAGATGCCTAGTTGCTGTTTTGGACAGCTTGTCCTTTAAACTTGTATAGAGTGTATGTGTTGAACCGTTGCCCCGTTTTGAGTGTGCCCTATTTGAAACTTGCTTAGAATTGCATGTAGTTTCATATTATCATGTCGCATCCTTGTTTTGAGGTGTTTGCTTGATGTTTGGATGCATTTAGCATCAATGCCATGTTTAACTTGTTTTGCTCATATCTTCTAGGCCGTAGCTCCGAATTAAATGAACTTTATATGTAACTTGACTAGAATTTCGTGTAGATCATCTTGGTGCATCTTAACTTGCTGTTTAACAACTTGAACATAAGATTTATTCAGTTCTGGACCAATTTCTAAATTTGCATATGAGGACTTACCGGAATTGTTATATGTTGTTTCTGGCCTCATTTAAACTTGCTTTGATATGTTGCTCTTGTATGCATCATCTCTTGCCATGAGTAGCCTCATCTAGCTTTGTCATGCATCATGCTTGGTTGTACATTATGTCATGTATATGTGTGGTGTGTTTACCATGTTGTGTGCTTCTTCTCGATAGTTCCCGTTTCGTTGCGATCGTGAGGATTCGTACGTCTACGCTTGGTTCGTCTTTGTGGCTTCATCTTCTTCATGGACTCGTTCCTCTTCCTAGTGGGATTTCAGGCAAGATGACCGCTACCCTGGATCTCACTACTATCATTGCTATGCTAGTTGCTTCGTTCTATCGCTTTGTTGCGATGCCTATTGCTTGCTCTTCAAGCCTCCCAATTTGCCATGTCAGCCTCTAACCTTGTCACCCTTCCTAGAAAACCATTGCTTGGCTATGTTACCGCTTTGCTCAGCCCCTCTTATAGCGTTGTTAGTTGCAGGTGAAGATAAAGATTGCCCCATGATGGACATGATTATGTTGGGATATCACAATATCTCTTATATTATTAATGCATCTATATACTTGGTAAAGGGTGGAAGACTCGGCCTTATGCCTGGTGTTTTGTTCCACTCTTGCCGCCCTAATTTCTGTCATACCGGTGTTATGTTCCCGGATTTTGCGTTCCTTACGCGGTTGGGTGATTTATGGGACCCCCTTGATAGTTCGCTTTGAATAAAACTCCTCCAGCAAGGCCCAACCTTGGTTTTACCATTTGCCTCACCTAGCCCTTTTTTCCCTTGGGTTTTCGGAGCCTGAGGG